GCTCGTTAGGCTTAACGAACGAGCCGAACACGAGCTGCTTAACGAGCCGAACACGAGCTGTTCGCGAACAACGAGCCAAATTGACAGCCCTATTTGCAACTTGCCAATCTAGTCGTTTAAGTTATATTCTCGACTGCTGATCTTGCATCTCAAATGGTGTTAATGGGTATTTAGGATTTAGTATCTTTTGATAACCTCTCATTGAACCTTTTTTGACACCTTCAACTATTCGGTAATGGCTTCAAGGCTTTGAACTTTCATTGAAGCTGCCATTATTTTTCTTTTATGTTCGTTTAACCTTCTTCTTGATGCTAATATTGTGGTTTGATTAAATGGTTTCATTAATTCACCTGCAAACTAATATAAACTTTTTTTTTTGTTAATTTTTCATTTTGTTCATAAAATAGAGGCCATGAGATTTGATATTGTTTTCTCTAAACTAGGATAGAATGCTACCTGGACTATTAAGTGCCGAATTTTTAAGAATTGTAAGGTGTTTAAGTAATGGAGCTGTTAAACAATTAAAGAATGAGTAGTACTATTGGGTGTTATACACGCGCTTGTCAAAATTTTTATTGACTTACTGATTTGGCTTTCAAAATGTTTACAAATTGCTAGCTTTTTTTATTTACTTGCATTTTATTCTTAGTATTTTTATATTTTGTGTTATATTTAAAAGCACATGTCATGCCATACGCTATATGCAACAACTCTACAGAGAACTTTGCACTGTAATGCACTATTTGCCATTGACTTGTGCGATAAAACTATAGAAATGCTATTCTAGGTGCTATTTTCACTTTCTGTGACTAGAGCTTGACATGGGTTTTTGATGTAGCATGCAGCGGCGGTCGTTGGGAGTAAAATGGTGGTGGTTGGTGGGGATTCTGGCAATGGGATGTTGGATGATACGATGGTACTGAGTTATTGTAGCTCTTTCATCTGATGCTATGTATGAATTTTAATTTTAATTTTTAAATATTCTGAAATTTCCACTATATTCTACATATTCATAAATGCTGGTTTGACGAATTTGCCTATTTAAGTTGATGTTGCTGTTGAAGGTTAGTTGCATATTGAGATTTGCGTGATTTGCTTTTTGCAATTTTCCAAATAATATTTGGATTTTTAAAAGTTATATTTTGGTTGGAATATTTATTCAATCGCAAGGATGGGACATGCTTGATGCTTGTGTTCTTTGAATTGCTTATTTGATTTGATGGTGTGTTTGGTTGTGCTTCTCAATTATATTATTGCTGATTTCAAATTAATATTGCATAATCTAGCATTTCTTTTTGAAAGATTTACATATCTAATACCTAAACTTCAATTTTAGCACACATTCCATCTTACTTGTGCATGAAAATGTGTATTTCATCTTTTAAACATTTAAATGGTGGTATTATTTATGTGGCATTAAAAATTTGGGTGGTATAAATATAAATTAGGTGTCAGATAAGTGCATGCATAGGGACTTGGTCGGATGCATGTAAATGCCCCTTCTTTTTTTCCTCCCAAGAAACTGATGTTTTTTTCCTGGTTGTGCATCCATGAACTGCCGGTTTTTTCTATAGATCTGATTTTGGTGCTTCACACACTCGTGTTACTGGTCTTAGAATTATGATTTTTCTTCACAATTATGTGTATTTTGGTTGATCACACGCTTATAGGGCATACTTTTTATGTGTGGCTTTTAAAATATGTAATGACTCTACAAATGCATTTCAATTTTAACATACACTCCATCTTACTTGTGCATGAAAATGTGTATTTCACCTTTAAACATTTAAATGGTGGTATTATTTATGTGGCATTAAAAATTTGGGTGGTATAAATATAAAAAGGAAAGTTTAGGTGTTAGATAAGTGCATGCATAGGGACTTGGTCGGATGCATGTAAATGCCCCTTCTTTTTTTCCTCCCAAGAAACTGATGTTTTTTTCCTGGTTGTGCATCCACGAACTGCCGGTTTTTTCTATAGATCTGATTTTGGTGCTTCACACACTCGTGTTACTGGTCTTAGAATTATGATTTTTCTTCACAATTATGTGTATTTTGGTTGATCACACACCTATATGGCATACTTTTTATGTGTGGCTTTTAAAATATGTAATGACTCTACAAATGCATTTCAGATACTTAGTTTGGACAAACTTTCCTGGGGTTCTGCTTCCAAGATCTACCGTTCGCCTAATGGGTCGAAAATTCCTGCATGTAAAGATCATTGTTTGGTATATTTTCAGTCACTTGCGACCATTTCATAATGTCTTACTATCATCCATTTATATAGTTGGTGCACTTTTTTCTTGTTGTTTATAAATTGTTTCCTTGTTTAATGGAAATGTAGATTCTCTATTAAATTTAGTTGTTTTTTAATGAAATGCTTGATGCATATTAATCCAAAAGACATAGGGAAGTGTGGATAATTTTTAGGGAAATTTACACACATTCCTCACAATTCTTTTATATTTGTATATCTAACACCCAAAGTTTAATATTTACACTTGTAACATTCTGGTATTGATGGTGGTATATTTGATGTGATGTTAAAGACATTAGTGATATACTTGTAAATATAAATCTTTAGGTGTTAGATATGTAAATAGATAAGAATTGTGCGGTATGCATGTAAATGCCCCTAATTTATATTATGCTTCCATTTTTCTTTTTGCTGAATATCTGCTCATGTTTATCTTAAGCATCAGATTTTTTTTTTTTTTTTTATTTTATGTTCTGATCATATTGTTCAGTGTGCTTTTCATAATTTAATCTTTTTAAGATTTTTTTGAGACATTATATGTTAGTTGTTTCAAAATAAACCCGAAATAAACTCTGCACACATGTAATGCAGGTCTCTTGGGGAAAGTTAGTACTTCTGGTTGGAGGCAAAACTGACCCTAAAAGTGATGGAATAGTTGGTTAGTTGATTTATTCTCAAAATAATTACGGATTTGATTGTGCATTGGAAAAAGGAGTAATTTTTTACTCTACTTTTAGTATGGTCCTTTGATCTAGATGCCGAATGCTGGTCTCATGTGGAAGTGAAGGGTGATGTTCCGGTAAGCTTTTTGTTATTTAAATTTTAATTTATATTCATTTTTTCTTCATATTTAAATATATCCTTCGTGAGCTCAGAAGAAGGAAAAAAAATTAACTTTTTTTTTTCTCCTTATGATTTTTGTGAAGCCATGATTATTCTCTATTAAAATTATCCAGCCGTTATCTACATTTGATGCAGCTATATGATGTAATTTCAGGCTGCTCGTAGTGGTCATACAGTCATCAGAGCAGGCTCAATCCTGATTCTTTTTGGGGGACAAGATATTAAAGGAAGAAAACTTAATGATCTACACATGTTTGATTTGAAATCTTCAACATGGCTTCCATTGCATTACACGTAAGCCATCTCTCTATTCTCTCCCTCTCGCTATCTACAAACACAGACACACAGACACACAGACACACAGACACACACACATCTATATAAAGCTGATCTATATAGTCCTTTTTTCTTAGTTTAGATTGATTTAAGTACATTTCATTGTCTTTTTTTATGTCAATTATATACTTTTTAATGTTCTATTAAATTACCTTTCCAGAGGAACTAGGCCGTCTCGAAGATCAAACCATGTTGCTGCTTTCTATGATGATAGGGTGGGTTTTTTATTATATTATATATATATATATATATATATAGACACACACACACATCTATATAAAGCTTATCTCTATAGTCCTTTTTTTTTAGTTTAGATTGATTTAAGTACATTTCATTGTCTTTTTTATGTCAATTATATACTTTTTAATGTTCTATTAAATTACCTTTCCAGAGGAACTAGGCCATCTCCAAGATCAAACCATGTTGCTGCTCTCTATGATGATAGATTTCTTTTTGTGTTTGGAGGGCAATCAAAGTCAAGGATTCTGAATGATCTCTATTCTCTTGACTTTGAAACAGTATGTAGCATTGGAGACGTCTTACTATATAAAAACATTTTTTTCAATTTTTTGCATATCAATAATTTTTTATGGTGGATTTAAGTATTCAATGTTTTTCTCTCTTTTTTTTTTCTCTCAAGATGGTATGGTCAAAAATAAAGATCAAGGGTTACCATCCATCTCCTAGGGCTGGTTGCGGTGGCATCCTTTGTGGAAATAGATGGTATATTGTAGGTGGTGGAAGCAAGAAAAAACGTATGCATTGAATTGCTCTGTAAGATTTGAAAAAATATTACATCAGTACTCCACACGTAGAGTAACGTGCAAAGTCAATGAAATCACGCCACGACACTCTACGCACTCCACGACAGAAAAAAAAATGGCCCGGTAACGCTGAGGAATATTCCCCATCTATTATTCATGTGTTATTGTGTGTTATTCATGTGTTATTGTGTCATGGGGATATTCGTAGTGTTATAATAACACAATAACACATGAATAACACACAGTAACATCTGAATAACATGGGGGGAATATTTCTGTGTTACGGGGCCGATTTTTTTTTTTTGGGAACATTCACCCCGTGTTATTCAAGTGTTATTCATGTGTTATTGTGTCCTGAGAATATTCCTGGTGTTATAATAACACAATAACATACAATAACACTTGAATAACACGGGGGAATATTCCCCTGTGTTACCAGACCAATTTTTTTTTTTCTGTCGTGGAGTGTCGTGGCGCGATTTCATTGACTCCGCACGTTACTCTACGTGCGGAGTACTGATGTAATATTTTTTCGTAAGATTTATTTAATTTTTTTTTTGTTGATGCTTAATGTAATTAGAGACTTTCTTGTGTTCCTTTTTGTTGTTTTCATTATGATAATTGACACGAACATGTAAAAAAAATTGTTTCTCTTATCCAGCTGCACTGGTTTTATGCTAATTAAAATAATTTTAGTCTCTGATAAATTATTTTTTTTCTTTTTCTTCGATTTATTCTAATTTTAAAGATGGAAAGCCAACTATTTAATATAAAATACTGTTTGTTTAGTATGAAGCACTAATTTTTGTCTTTTATATGCAATAAAGCAAACAAAACGAAGATCTCCAATATATTAGATTGCGAGTAAAAATGATAGAAATAGAAGACAACAAAGTCCCTGATTGAAGTTTCTTGCACCCAAATATCTCTTCATCGATTTTTTATGATGCCTTCAAATTCATGATCTGCTGGATTAAGAAAGCGGATCTTGCTAAGACTGTCCCAGATCCATAGTTTAAAAAACAGGAGTGGATTATATTTTCTCTGGCCCTTGTTGTAATTGCAAACTCTCATTTACACATCTACCATCCAAAAAGGAAATGAAAAGAGACGCTTTAATTGAAAGGGAAAAAGTCTTACAAGTAAAATACTACCACCCCACCCCCCCAATTACTGTCTCACACTGAGTTGATATGGGTGATATAAAAGATGAAATTAACAGCAGCAAAGTTGGTGTTATTCTTATACTATGAAGGCTGCCAACTTATGTTTGTACTTACCTTGTTAAACTTAAAATTAGCTTTTCAGTCTTGCGGACATTTCTTTTTTGACGCTTTATTTTGGTATTGGAATAACAAAAAGCTTGAAAATGAAAATTTTGTTAACAACATTTTAATATTATGCTGTGTTCATTTTCATGCTGTACTGCTTGAAAGTATCTCATAATTGTTTGGAGTTAACATCTGAAAAGTTGGATTTCCTTAGTGACGGACATTCAAATATGTGATTTATGCTTATTTGACGAGAAATTGACAAAATGAGAGGATATTTGCAAACGTTTAGAAATTAATACTTTTTGCACAACGCTTTTTCATTTCACAGCGATTATCACTTATTTTACTGATATTTGAATTTTTAAATTTATGTTGCTTTATTTTCTTTTCAGGGTATGCTGAAACCTTAGTCTTTGACGTTTCAAAACTCGAGTGGTCTGTTTCTGTTACATCGTCTAATGACTCAATAGCTATTAGTAAAGTAAGTCCTTCTCAACAACTTTTTGTGCATTTTACTGTGTTAATTTTTTTTTAAATTTGTTACTTTGATGGTTTTGAGTGATTCTTGGCTTGAACTTATTTTTGTCGTAATCTAGTAGTTCATGTTGAGTTTTGTCATCATTTATTGAAAGTTCACTCTTTGGGTGCCATATTTAATTTCTTAACAACTTTTGAAGGATGCAAGTATGTCTTACTATTATGGATTGTTTTCATTAATATCATTTAATATTTGATTTTAATGTTCATTACTTGGCAATGCTTACCGCATGCTTTTGATGGCCCCATCATCCAAGTTGTTACAGAAACAAGCCCGTTCTATAAACTCTCGAGAGTTATGATGAAAGTTTATTGAGGTATGATAGAAGTTGGTAGTAGGATTTTATACGAGAACAGAGTAGTAAAAAAGTTTAGTCGGTTGATGGGAGACCAGTTCCATGATCCCCACTTATGCGAGATTGAGATCGGGATGAAATCTTATCCTGTGAAGTATCATAGTGGGGTAGAGGGTCTTTCACACCTGTTGGTTTTTTCCAGGCCTTGTGGGTCCCTCTTTTTATATTATTTGGAATATAATTAGGGTTATTTTACTTGGAAAATATTTGTATGTTTTTAATTTTTGGTTTTGGGACACATGCTTTTGGTTTATGCATTTAGAGAACGCTCTTTGTTTTTCGCCCCAAGGGTTGTATCATTTACCACTTGTAAGTTGTGCGTCTGTATCTTGTTTGAGATTAGGTGGTGGGTCTCCCTCGATAGTTGTGCCTTGTTGATGCCTTGATTTTGCTGTTATCCTCATTGCTTTTAGTTCGAACAACTGCCCAACTACTCTATTCCCCTTCTTCCAAATTCTGTCTATTTCGAAATACTTTAGTAGAGAAGGTTAGATTATCACTAAGCTACACTTGCTATATATTAATTATCCATAGAGAATATTAGGGGCGATAGGGATCATTTTTTGTTTTTTATTTTTTATTTTTATTTTGTTTTATATATGTTTTGATTTGAAAAAAAAGATATGTTTGACATATTTGATTAAGATATAATTGATTTTAAAATCACTGAAAACACCTAAAAATTAATTTGATTGTTTTAAAATAAATATGTTAATTTGTTTTTTAGGAAAAAATAAAAATGTATAAAATATGCTAAACAAACATGTTTTTAGGAACCAAAAATAAAAAATAAAATTGAACTCAAACAAGGCTTTAGATTATGCCTAAGATACAATTTAAATTGTTTTAGTTTAATTGTTTAAAATAATCTATTTGGTAAGATATTTTTTTTACTTTGATTTTAAAGGAATTTGAAAATTTAATTTTCATAAATAATTTATTGAAATAATTGTTATTTATATTGTTCAGGAATATTTATCGTTACTAAAATGTATTTATAGGCAATATATTTTTTCTTGTTTAGCAATCCACTTCGCTTGGACAAGGCATTAGGCAACCATATTGCTTTGAAAATTCCTGATGATTTTGAAGTGCCAGTAAGGGTTGATCTACACGAAATTTTTATAAGAAATTTGCTCGCAATACCACAATTATTACATATTTACACCTCTAACACCCAAAGATTGATATTTAACAAGATATTGGTGCATAAACCTATGCATGAAAAGGTTTATTTTAGTTTTTAAAAAATGGCGATGATAATATTTTTTATGTGATTTTAAAGAATTGAGCGATATGCATGTAAAAATGAATGCTTAGGTGTTAGATATGTAAATACATAAAAAATGTGTGGCAAGCATGTAAATGCCTCAATTTTTATTAGTATATGATTATGAGTACATATTTCTTGATATTGATATGACTAATAGGCGACGGCTTGTATATAGAAAAAGAAGAGTTGTTTGAAATATGTAATAGTGAGATAAAGGCTTGTTGTTGCTTTTTGAAATTTGTGGTAGACTGTTTGGTGTCTATGTCTAATTATTTGTTTTCTATCATTGCGGTGAATGGTCTCATGTATTTTGTTAATTGACGTTTACCATGTAGTGTGAATTAGTGGGTTTTTTAGAGTTGAATATTATTGTGGATTTTTGTTGCTGTTAGATTGATGCGGGGTGGAGGCGACGCTCCTGCAACCGAAACAGGCTTCCTCCTGCATGTCTTGATCGAACTGGTTCATGTCTTTTCTTGATGTGGAGTGCCGGCTGGACCCGTGGGCCCACTCCTAGTTATCATATTTTTATAAATTTTCTTTCTTGAGAGTCTTTGGTTAGTTTTTATTGTGTTTTTGTTTGGGACAACCACCGACATCTCTGGTCCCTTGGGCTTGCCGGAATCGCCTCCCTACCACCTAGCTGCTGTTCCCACCTTCCAGAACCAGCCATCCACCTCTTGCTGTGGTGATTTTCTTCATCCATCCTTCGTCCGCATTCCTCCCTCTACTGCTTCCATCACCTTCCCTGTAGCAGTCACCCAGAATACAGCTTTCTTTGCTATTTTTTACAGCTGCCAACCAATCCCTTGCTGCCTTGCTGCGCTCTTTCAGCCCATCGGAATCGCCTCCCTACCACCTAGCTGCCATTCCAGCCACCCTGAAACGCCTTCCCACAGCCTAGCTGCTGTTCCCACCTTACAAAACCAGCCGTCCACCCTGTTCCAGAACCTGTGTTCCACTTTGCTGCTGCCATGAACAACAAACTGCAGCTGCTCCTAAACCACAGCCCAAAAACCTTCTTGCTGTTGCCACTACAGCCCACCAGCCCCCCTAACATCATTCCAGCCGCTTACCGCCCTTCCAACCCCCCATAACCTACCACCACCATCCCTGGATCGACCCCCTCAGTATGTGTTTGTGTGTCGCGTTGTTGTTATTTCTTAGTTCTGTTTGTGTGGTTGTAATTCTCTTATTTAAATTCAGCAATAATATTTAATTTTCTATTGTTGTTTGGTTAACTCCAGTCATTAGATTTTTTATGTTACTAGCCTTAGTTAACTTCAAGTTCAAGCTCTCGAGCTTGGTCGTGACATCCCTAAAATTTAATGTGATGCTGATACTATGTTTTGGATGGGAGGGTGGGGAAATGTGGAGAACTGCTGCTTACAGCCTGCCTAAAGAGAACTTTAATGGTTTTAGTACGAGTTTGATAATCATTGCTTATTGACGAAACACTATTTAATTTTTAGTGTCAATATTTCACGTTTTTTTTACCTCTCAATGCGGTACTATGTGCCAAGCAAATAAATTTTGGGAAATTTACATATGCAGCACATACTTTGTATATATTTACGTATCTCACACTTAAACTTTCATATTTACATAAATAGCACTCGTGCTTTAAACCTATGCATGAAAAGGTGGAATAGTGCTATTTTTGATGTGATATTAAAGATTTGAGTGCTATGTTTGTAAATATGAAAGTTTAGGTGTGAGATATGTAAATACTTAAGAATTGTGTGCAATGTATGCCTCTTAAATTTTGGAAGAACTAAACAGGCAGCCTTTTATATAGCTGCAAAAATATAACAGGTTATCTGCTTTTCAGGGATTTAGTTTGGTCTCTGTGCATTACAACGACAAGCTATTTCTAGTTGCTTTTGGAGGAAACAGAAAAGAGCCCTCAAATCAGGTTAGAGATGGATTTGCACCTAATCTAGTCTGCTTATTTCTATATGTTTTTTGAGAAATTTACATACATACCCTTATAAACCACACAATTCTTATGTATTTAAATATTTAACACCCAAAGTTTGATATTTACACTTATTACATCTTGGTGTAATTACATCTTGGTGTAATAAACCTATGCATGAAAATGTATATTTCATTTTTAAAATGATAGTGATAGTGGCAATTTTTATGTGTTGTTAAAGATTTGAGTGTTATAAATATGAATGTGTAGGCCGTTTTTTTACCATGTATTTTCCTCTGCAGGCTGAAGTATTGGTAACGGTAAAAAATGAACATTCTATGAGCTGGAGATCCGCACCTGGCTTAGATGTTTTACCCTACGAGGACAGCCTTGGGGATCCCAAAGATCTTGCTGCTCGCGTCAGCTATGGTCGAACAAGTTTGGTTGGGAGATTTGGCGTCGCTTCGGCAGTGGAGCATCATGCTTCGGGTAGGAAATCACTGTCTGATTCGTCTATTGATCCAAATGCTAGTTCTGGCACTATTTCGCTTCGCAGGCAATTTCATAATGAAGAAGAGTACAATGCAAACCACAAGGTGCGTAAAACTACTGAAGAGGAGAAGCAGAAGATGGGCAGCAGTGGCTCGGAACGGTATAATCTAAGCACACAGGTGAGAAAATAGTTATTGTGTTTATATGGGATGTTGTAATTTTAGATTTTTTTCTCGCTCGGAACGGTATAATCTAAGCACACAGGTGAGAAGATAGTTATTGTGTTTATATGGGATGTAGTAATTTTAGATTTTTTTCTCTCCTCAAAAAAGGATTGCAAAATTCTCTCCTCAACGAGTAATCCATTACCTTATTATCATATTATAAAATGATAATAATTAAAATAAAGCCCAGGTGATAATAAGGTTAAACTTTGAAAGATTGTAAGGCAAACTTTGATCTGATCTTTGATTGAATAATTATTTTTTTAGCATTTCATTGTGCTTCGGTTTTTGTGTTTTAAATGCATGTCATTATAGGTTTCTTTAGTATTGGCATTTTGCTCTCATATTTATATTGGCTGTGATGAGGGGCGTTCCTCGTCTGCCTTTCAGATGGGGTGAGACCGAATAGGTTTAGTGAGGGACCAGTTCAACATTTTCTGCCACCATGGCTGGCCAGCCCGAGGCCTATTTACTAGCTATTTAGGCTAACTAATTAAATATGTTGTGAAGTTCTTTTTGGACACCTTTTTCTTTGGTTTTATGAATTAGAGACTATTCCCTCTAATTGTCTCTTGCTGGAGTGTTGTATCCTTGATCTTTTTATCTGTTGTGCTTGTAAAATGATTTGATCTATGTAGTGATCTCTCTCAGATGTTCGAGTACCTTTCTATATCTCTACATTCATTTCCTACCTGTTGTTTTCTTCATCCACCCGTTGTTTGCACTCGGTTTCAGCCGTCTATGCTGTTTTCCTTCCATTCCACTTCTTACCAATGTCCGATCTAACCCTTGATCATTCCACATTGTCTAGAAACTCTATATCAGTTTCATTTGGTGATGTTGACACAAATGATGAACATGTTAAGCCTCACTGTCTAGAATCATTTCCAATCATATTCTCTAACTTGGTTGAAGGAAAAATAGATTAGTGTTGACAAAAAAATGTTTGGTAGAGTTTTTAAGTGGAGACAAACTATAGGATCATGTGTAAGGTGTTCCATTGTGTCTATATGAGCTAATATGAAAATGAAGGTGTAACATAAATATTTTTCACGCATTATCGGCGGAATATGTTCCTAAAACTTTTAGTCTACACCAAAGAGATTCTTCCGTGAAGGGATAAATGTCTGAATTTGATAAGATCATGTTGAAATCTGAGTTGGTAGAAGTCACTTATCGGAGGAACACATAATGGCAAGGTAGAAGCCACTTATTGAGTTGGTAGAAGTCACTTATTGAAGTAACATCAGTAGTAGGGGATCACCGCATTTTACATATACGAGTAGACTAGGATTAGTCAACAAGAGTACACCCTTTAGACCACCTAGGTCCGCCCCTCCTGAGGAGAAATTAGCCCAAGGCAGAGAAAATGTGTAGAACACCAACACCTTTAAGTACTTCCCGGCTAGGGAGTGCTTCGAGTGTTATGTCTCTAAGCACATTGCATTTGATTGCCCAAACAGAAGAGTGTCTCTATGCACATAAACAGAAGAGTGTCTCTACGCAGATTGCATTTGATTGTCCAAATAGAAGAGTGATATCTTTTCAAATAAAAAACAATGAGAGATGGACAATGACATTCAGGATTCTTAAGAAAATAAGGATTTGAGAGAGATGTAAGCAGTTTTTCCATCAGCATAACACTCAAATTCTTATGTATTTACATATCTAACACGTACACTTCAATTTTTACGTATATGCCACCTTTATGCATGAGAAGGTATTTAACTTTTTTCACTTTTTAGAAGTTAGAAAAAAGTGGTATTTTTTATGTGGTTTGAAAGATCCTAGTTGATTTAAATGTAAAAAAATGAAGTATAGCTGTTAGATATATGTAAATGCCCGTGGTATTTTTTACATGCCAATCTTATCCTAATGATGATGTCGATAACCATTAGAAATGATCTCATCAGGTGATCGACTTTGCGCACAAGCCACAAGAAACTACAGTCAAGGTTGATATAGCAGGGATCCTAAGTTCCTCCGAAGAGAATGCGGTCACATTCAATATCGATAATTCCCATTCTCGTCACAAGCCGCCGGACTCTTTCCACTCATCAAGTAGCGACCCCATTGCGCCGATCGAAGCTCTCTCAAACTCCACAAACATCTACCAACCCTACGAAACAAAGATCGCGAACCTGGCTAAGTCAAACAGCCTGCTCAAAGCACAACTTTCTGCTGCATTGACAAACCAAGATGCCATCGAGAAGAACCTGTCCTCGGTCACAAAATCGAAGCAGGAGATGGAGAAAAAGCTCAACGATGCGATGAAGGAAGTCGAAATGTTGAAAGAGAAATTGGCGAATTTGGAACTAGTTCAAGAAGAGGCAAATAGTGTCTCCAATATGGTTCATTCTGATAATGTGAGGCTTGAGCATGATGTTGCTTTTCTCAAAGCAGTTTTAGATGACACCCAAAAGGTTCATAAATTTGACTTTTTAAATTTTCTAAGTTTTGGTTATTTACATTTATATACCTGAAGCTGAAATGTTAGTAGTGTATGAATTCAGGAGCTACATTCTACTCGGGGCGTACTTGCTGGAGAAAGAGCAAGAGCCTTTCAGCTTCAGGTACTCAACACTTGTCATGATTTTGTCATGGGGCATTCACATACCTACCACCCAATTCCTATATATTTATACTTTGCTTTTTTACATTTATTTCATATTACATAAAAAAATGCCACTGATTTAACTTTTAAAAAATAAAAAATCTTTTCATACACCAGTAAAGATTGTATAATTTTAAAAAATTGAAGTTTAGGTGTTAGATATGTAAATACATAAGATTTCAGTGGGTTTAATTCTTGGTAAAAAACCGAGTTCCTGAAGCTGTCTATTGTATTTACATATCTAACACAAACTTTATTGTACATTTTTACCACCCAAGTATTTCATCACTTAAAAAATATCACTATTTTTAACTTTAAAAAAAAAAGTAAAATGCCTATTTTCATACCTAGATAAGGTGTCATATTCATCAAAAAAATGAAATTTGGATGATAGATTGATATGTAAATACATATGATTTAATTGGTATATATGTAAATTTTCTTTTTATTTTCCTGAATCAATGCATATTTAATGCAATTTAACAAGTAATTTATGATAAATAATGAATCTTATTTTTTTGGCAGGTGGAAGTCTTTCACCTGAAGCAAAGATTGCATTCTTTTGAGAACAGGGCGCCTACGCCTAGAAAACCTTTCCACTTGTAGTAGTAGATATTGCAGAGCAGCTATGATTTCTTTCTGGGTTCTGCTTTGTTCCTTTCTGACTAATTATTTTGTATATAGTTTGCACCGATACAACAAGTCTTGTAATTTTAATTTTAAATCAGTGAGACGTGTATGATTTCATCTACACTCTTGTTTTGTAGGCAGCCTTATTTTTTCAATTTGTGGAAGATTTATGCAGAAATGTCTTTTGGGGCACAAGTAAAGTTGCGTGCGCAAGACATAAGTAAAGCTGCATGAGTCTGTGACCTACAAATAGGTTAAGGGGTGCATTTGCATGCCAACTGATTCCTATGTATTTACATATAAAGCCTAAGTTTTCCATTTTACATTTATGCAAAATAAATATTTCATCCATACTCTTGTTTTGTAGGCAGCCTTATATTTTCAACGTGGAAGATTTATGGAGAAATGTCTTTTGGGGAGAAAAAAAATTGTGCAGCAGAATTGCATGTGTGTAACCTACAAATGGGTTATAGGGAGAGTGTATTTACATATAAAACCTAAGTTTTCCATTTTACATTTTATGCAAAATAAATATTTCATTACATCAAACATATTACCATTTCAACGTAGTAGCAGGATAGATATGCAAATACAAAGTATCTGAGCTTTGTGTTGGGAAAAATTTCTTGTAATATATTTTATAGGAAAGTTTATGGAAGCCTAAGAATGACGAATTAGCTCTTTTGTTATTGTTATTTGAATATATCATAAACAAATCTGGTTTTTTTTCTTGTAACCGTTCTATTCAATACAAATTTTTTGTAATATATTTGAGACAAAAACAAGCTTTTGGCATTATAAATTCTTGAATATTTATTCCTTTTAACTATGGAATTAATTCATTATTTTTAAGAAATGTTTGTTTAATTTAGTTAGCATTCATTGTTTAGATTAATTTTTTTTCTAAATGCTCTGAATAATTTAGAAAATAATCAACGCCGGCCGTCCGACTTACCATCACTCTATTGCCAATAATTAATAATACTAAATTAATTGATTTTTTTGAATGGAAAAAAATAAAATAAAATAAAAATTAGAGCGAATGCTATAATCAACCATTTTTATCTTCATCATAAAATAAAATAAAAATTAGAGCGAATGCTATAATTAACCATTTTTATCTTCATCATCTTCATCATACATAAATTACACAAAATGCTTAGTTTTCAATTAGCAAATCAAAAGGAGTCTGAGCATCTACAGACTTCATCAATGGTAACAACAGAGCAGATGCAGCATTATGAATTACCAAAGAATTGGGTCTGAAAGAAATCAAAGTTGGTTTTACAAATTTGAATTTTTATACTAATCATAATTTTTTTTTAATAAATAAATTATTGAATTCTAGATCATACACAAGCAACCAAATTGAATTAACATTAAAGCATAAGCTTACAGCTTTATAAGAGATCAGTGTCTTCTGGATCAGCTTCAGCATCCTCAACCTCATTTTCTTCATCTTCCTCGGGTGCATCTGGATCTATACCCTGTAAAAACAAACAAATAAATAAAATCAAATTCATAGATTTATTTATCAAGTAAAAATACTTTTAAAAAATGCAGAAATAAATTAATATGGAAGTTGTTAAGAGCAACCAAAAGGCTGCATGATTCACCTTCATTTGTTTCTCCAGGCGTTCTAAACCCTTCTTAGCAGCACTGTTTTGTGGGTTTATCCTGTAATTTTTAACTAGTGAGAAAACTCTAATTATAGTTTAAAAAGCGAAACTCTTTCAAGTGGTTTTTCGGCTTATCAAACATCTGCATTGAAAAATTTTTGCATGGTGCGGAACTTATGAACACCATAACGGCAAAAAAGAAAAAAAAAAACAAAAAGGGGTATTAATATATATATCACACAATTCTTATGTTCACATATCTAACATCTAAAAATTTATATTTACATGCATACCACTTAAATCTTTAACATCAAAATAAAAAAAAATCACCATCACTATTCTTCTAAAAGTGAGATGCATAAGTTTATGACACTAAAGTATTACAAGTGTAAATGCCAAATTTTTGGAGGTAGACAAGTACATTACATAAGTAAAATGTGGTGTATATGTAAATTTTTCAAATAAAGATAAAATATAAAAAAATGAAAATACTTTACCACTATTTTGATGTGATATTAAAGATTTGAGCGCTACGTGTGTAAATATGAAAGTTTAGGTGTGAGATATGTGAACAAATAAGATTTGTGTGCAATGCATGTAAATGCCCCTAATCAATAGTACAAGGCAATTAACACATACCTTAATGCTGCTTGAAAATGTAAGAGAGCTTCTGAGAGCATATTTGTGTCTGCAAAGACCTGTGCCAACTTGGTGTGCAGAGAATCATCTGCGCAATCTTTGATGTACCTTTCAAGAAGACAGACTGCATCTTTAGTTCTACCTTCAACCACATGGAGCTCAGCCAATGCTAAAGCGGCATCGAGGTATCCAGGTTCAAGGCGCAGTGAAGATTCATAAAATTTTCTCGCCTGAGTTATAGAGTCAAATGATGTGTTCAGGTTGAAGAATGAGAACCAACATTTTTAAGGACAGATTTCAGAACCATCATACTCTACTTTTTACATTTATTCCACCCAAATCTTTCATATCACATAAAAAATAACACTATTTTAGGATCTGCTCAGGATTATTTTTGTTTTTAATTTTCTATTTTATTTTGTTTATATTTTGATTTGAATTAAAACATGTCTGATTGAGATAGTTGTGTTTTTAAGTGATTTGAGTATTTATAAAAATAAAAAAATAAAATCATATAAAAATTATACTAACCAAATAGTTTTTCACATACAAAAGAGAAGTGAAAATGAAAATTGAAAATAAAGGTGATGCCAACTAAGCCCTTTTAAAAAGTGAAATACATCTATTCATGCATAGTTAAGGTGGCATGCATGTAAAAGTTGAAGATATGTAAATACGTAGGGATTGAGCAATATGTATGTAAATCTTCCAAACTATTAACTTGAAGATTGGTATCGTTGAAAGGTAAGCTCAAGATTAATCATAAATGATAAACTTTAAAAGAACCCTAAGATTTGAAGGTAAGTTCTTTAACAAACTTGTGTTGATAAATAAACTGTACATGTAAAAGAAAGGAGACTGGATTGCACATACCGCAGCCCGCACTTTGTATTGGTTTGCCATTCACAATTAAAAGTGCAGTATATCTTTAAAAATATCCTGCAGATTGTGGATCTTGGTATGCCAAACCAGCTGCACCATAACTTATTGGGAAATTTACATACACATCACAAAATTTTATGGATTTACATATCAAACATAAAAAATTTGTTATTTGCATTTATAACACCTTGGTGTTATAAACCTATTGCATAAAATGATAAGAAGATGCATTGGACAGTTAAAAAAATTAGTCGAAATGGTATTTTTGATTTGATGTTAAAGATTTGAGTGTTGTTATGAATGTAAATATTAAAGTTTAAGTATAAGATATGTAAATCTATAAGAATTGTATGGTACACATGAATGAAGGCAGCAATCCTGATATTTCATAAAACCTCCTCCTTCCAGGGAGTGATTGTCACTACAGGTAGGTAAAATTGTACTTCCAACATAAAGAGAGATCTCGATGTAAGAATCAGCAATGCCTTGACAAGATGTGATGGAACTAAGATTAGAGCATAAGATAGTGTGATGCTTTGAGCTATTGGGCTCCACTCATTCAACATACAAGGTCTTGGCAATAAAGTCATAGTGTGATGTAAGAATTAGCAATGCCTTGGCAATAAAGTTTCCAGGTCTTCATACCCTAACAGGTGGAACAAATGATATCAAGGCGCCCAATTTAGAAAATAGGCAAAGAAGTTTAGTTTAGGAAGAGCTCTAGAGTTATAAGTTCGATCAAGGAGTAGTGAAAAGGCCAAAAACTAAGTGAACGGTAACACAGGCTCAGCATGGGTGAATTTCTTCTGACACTCCAGTCGATCAAAGAAAACCAATTTCCACCAAAACTAAGAAAAAAATCATTCAATCTAAAGATGAGAAAAGGATGAGAGAGAGTTTTTGATCTGAGTCTTAGCCTTCTCAGAAGTTTATTGGGTGAGAGAAGCTTAAAACAGGTAGAGGCCACTATGTTAAAAACTCCCTGGAAGCTGATATCAAAGACAATGTGAGTTCAATAAAGTATCGGTTAATTTATACACGAAATCACAACTTCAACTGAAGATATCCACTAACTTCAAAAAAGAAAATGCACATAAATACAACACAACTATTATGTTTCTTCAGTGTCATCCATTAATCATACAATGACATGAATAAGAAAGTCTTTCGAATACAAAGTTGACCATCTAAAAAAAAGTAATGGCTAAATCCACATAGTCAGCCAATCTTCCATAATGTGAAATATCAACTATATTTTCATCAAGATGTTGAGTGATGTTTAGATATAATTTTGTATAAGCTTTCTTCACTTTATGGCGTTCCATTCATCAGCATGCAAGAAATATTTAACAGATACCTTGCAATATATTTAGAACATTAAAAGATACCACTTTCCAAATTAAAAATAAATAGCAGAAACTATAGTATAAACAATTTATTTGTTGAATACTTTACAATATAATTCATAATTTCAGAAAAAAGTGATAAACAGTAAGTAACAGCAAACTTACAATAGTCATTACTACGATCAGGTGAGACTAAACCAATTTTAGTTATAAAGGTCAAAAGTGAGCACCGCACAAAAAAAATTCTATCACACCAAAAATGAAATCAAAGGCAAACATACCTTATCCCTCCCGCTAGAATTACTAGCATGAACATCACCAACCAGTTTGAGGGCTTTTGCTGATTGAGGCATTATCTTCATTGCCTCCCTAGCTGTGTATAGCGCTTCCTTTATTTTGGAAAGTGCCAAATAAGAGCGAACTAAACCTGAAAAATTACATATGAGGAAAAAAAACATCAACAAATCAATCATGCAAAATGCAGGAAATGTAGTCAAAGACCTTGATACGAGCGAAGATCAGGTCTCAACTCTTGAGCTGCCCTGAAAGCTGTCACAGCTGTATCAGGTCTGTTTAGCGACAGAAAAAGTCTTCCCTGAACAGGCATTGCAAATCCCAAAATAAAAATGAACTTTTAAGGAAATCAGAGAAGCTTACTCCATTCATCGATTAAACAACAGAAAAAACACAACTAATTACCTTTATTATGTGGCCCAAAATATGTCTATCATCAATTCGGATGCTCTGCTCAGACAAAATTGCCTCAGTAGAAAACTAGTTCAGAACAAGCATTTGGAAGAAATGATGAGAAGCTT